AAAAAAAAAAAAAAAAAAAACTTATTTGAAATCAAATTGGTATTTGCTTTTGTACTAAAAAAGAATGTGTGGACGTAAGATAGAAGAGTGATTCTCAAACACTATGGCTCATAAAAATAACCTGAATAACTCGCTAAACTGCAGATTACCAGCTCCCAGAGCTGAGAAATTCTGATTCAGGAGGCCTAGAATGTGGCTCTATAATCTTCACCTCTAAAAGACATTCTAGATGATTTTGATAAAAATTTCACAGTGTCCACAATTTGAGAAACCCGGAAGTAGAGACTATGTTTAGTATATGTGGTTTATTTAATCAGTTTTGCGCACCAATCAAGACTTTCTAGTCCCAAGAATAGATTCTCTGGCCTGACTTTTTTCACACACACACACATTTTTTTTCCCCATAGCAGTCAGCAAAGCTAAGTGGAAGGCACAGAGTTCCCATGTACTCCCTCCCCCACATAACCACAGCCTCCATCCTCAGCATCCTGCACTACTGCTGTACATTTGTTACAATCGATGAATTACTATTGACACGTCATTATCAAACAGAAGTCCATAGTTTACATTAGAGTTTACTCTTGGTGTTGTAATTCTATGGATTTTGACATGTATAATAACAAGTATCCACCATTATAGGGATTTACAAAATAATTTTACTTCCCTAAAAATCCTCGTGCTCCACCTATTCATCCTTCACTCCCCCCAACCCCTGGCAACAACTAATCTGTTTATTGTGTCCATAGTTTTGCCTTTTTCATAATGTCATATAGCTGGAGTCACACCCCATGTAGCCTGTTCAGATTGGCTTCTTTCACTTAGTAATATGCACTTAATTTTCTTCCGTGTTGTTTTTGTGTGTTTGTGACTTGATAGCTCATTTCTTTTCAGTGCTCAATAATATTCCATTGTGTGGATGTACCACAGTGTATTTATCTACTCACTTACTGAAGTACATCTTGGTTGCTTCCAAGTCTTCGCAATTATGAATAAGCTGCTGTAAACATCTATGTGCAAGTTTTTGTGTGGACATAAGTTTTCAATTCATTTGGTTAAATACCAAGGAAGATGATTGCTACATTGTATGATAAGAGTATGTTTAGGTGTGTAGTCCTTATCTCATTGTTGTTTTAATATGCAACTCCTGCCCCAGGGAATCAGCAGCAAAGCAGCAATTTAGCTCAACCACAGGTCTCAAGTGCTGGTCCCCATAGGAAGTTCCACAATTTTAGAATTAAGTAAAGGACAACAAATTAGTTCCAATGCAGAGTTTAAGTGGTGGGAATAGCGAATAATCCAACACAGAACTGAAAGAAAACAAAAAAAACACAAATCAGGCCATCACAGTGCCCCATCAGAGTCCTGAAGCATGGAGCAGGCCAAAGCCAAGCCCAGCCACAACAGGCAAGCCACTGCTGCCACAGGGCCCCACCAGGGTCCTAAAGGATGGGGCCAGGGGAAGTGGAGCCCAGCCACAACCAGGTAAGGAGCACACCACAAACACCACTTCCATGCAGATAGCCCATCATAGCCACTGCAATTCTCACAGCTACCACAAAAGCAGCTAGTCACTACAGCAGTAGTCACAGCCACTGTGCAGATAACCCACCAGACACTCAAGTGCATTGACACAAGGAGAGTCATCAGCAGAGACCAAAAAAAAAAAAAAAAAAAGAGGACCTTTCTCTCCACAAAGCATACTCCAGAGTGATAGAAGAAGCGCCTGCTATATGATAATGCAGGGACCTGGACACAACTCTCTCAGCACTGGACAGATCATCTAGGCAACAAATCAACAGAGAAATAGTTAAGAAGGAGAGAACAAATTTATGGTTATTAGACAGGGAGGGGAAGGGGAGAGACTGGATAAAAGGCATAACAAATTAGCATGATTTGTAGTAATGAATACACAAATAAAAATAATTTGCAATTGCCTAATAACATATGATGTTGATAGTCTTTTCATGTGCTTATTTTCCATCTGTTTATCTTTTGCAGTTAGGTGTCTGTTCAGATCTTTTGCCCATTTTTTAATTGGGTTGTTCGTTTCCCTGTTGTTGAATTTTAAGAGTTCTTTATATAATTTGGATAACAATCCTTTATCAAATATGTCTTTTGCAAATATGTTCTCTCTGTCTGTGGCTTGTCTTCTCATTCTCAGGATGATTGTGGCACTCATTTGTTATTATATTTGCTGCCACATTAGACTGTGGGCTTCTTATGGATGAGGATTTATGTCCCATTCTTCATTAGTTTAGCCTAATGTTTGGCACAAATTAGAATTAAATGATGTTTAACTAATGAACTGTTGGGTTTGTGAAGCGAGTCTTCTACTCTCTTGCTACTCAAAGGATGGCCCTCAAATCAGCAGTATGGGAATCTCCTGGGAGCTTGTTTGTGAGATACATGCTCAGGCTTTAATACTAAATGAGAATCTGCATTTTAACAAGATCCTCATGATTTGAATGCTCTTTGACATGTGTGAATCTTGCGATCCATTTAGCCTTTATAAACCCATCTCTCCCCACCTTCAGTCAGCTATAGTAGTAAGGCAAGTCACATTTATACGACCGACTAATTTGGAAAGTTCTATTTTAAGCAGGAACAGGAAGGGCCTCACCACCCAGCACAGAAAGTAAAAATAGCAAGTGAGAAAATGGTAAGTGCTCCTGCCCAAGGTTAGTGTGTCTATAAAAGTGAGAGGCTCTGCCCATCTCACCAGTGAATTAAGTCAATCCTCTTTCCATAAGGAGAAGCCTGCAAAAGAGCAGATCATAGGAGGAGCCTATTTCATAGCTAAGGTAAGAATGTGAGGAAAGCAAGAGGATGATTTCTTCCTAACTTGGAAACATTAGTTTCTATGTTAAATTGCATGCTAAATCACTGATCCGAATGAAATAAAAAGAGGAAGCAACTACTTCCTTCAGAAAATCAAAGAAATATCATTTGTGCTTTTTCTTAGAGTCAGGAAAAAGGGACGGGGAAATTCTAGGATAAGAGGAGAGGCATTCAGAAGAGCGCAGC